AAAAACAAAAAAAAAAAAAAAAAAAAAAAAAAGGTTGTTCCTTTCGACCCAAAAACATCACTTCCAAGACTGTTTACAACAGATAATTGGAAACAAGAAAAATGTGTTATGTAGAGAAAAATGTCCTTTAAAAAATCTACAATAGGTCAGAGAGTGGTAGTGCATGCCTTTAATCCCAGCACTTGGGAGTCAGGGACATGTGGATCTCTGTGAGTCCAAGGCTAACCTGATCTACAGAGTAAGTTCCAGGACAGCCAAGGCTACACAGAGCTACACATCGGCAAGGCTATCCTGTTTCAAAAAAAAAAAAAAAAAAAAAAAAAAAAAAAAACAAAAAAACAACTGAACAAAAAAACAAAACAAAAAACTATACCAATTGTAACATTCAGTAATAAGGGATCAAGTGGTCATGAAAGCAACGGACGGACGACCCTCAGTGATGCAGCGGGCGTGGGAAAAGATGAAGGGTGGGAAGCTAGGTTAAACAGGCAAAGGCAAAGAATGGATGCGCTGCAGTTACAGTCTTGTCTTCAGAGGCAAGGCTTCTAGTCTTTCAAAAGCTAAGGCCAGGAGGTTGGAAAGATGGCTCAGTGGTTAAGATCACTCATTTCCCTAACAGAGGACCTGGGTTTGATTCCTACCACCCACATGACAGTTCACAACCATCTGTAACTCCAAACCCAGGGCTTCTAACCTCTGAAGGCACCAGTCATGCCCATGGTACACATACACACGCACATGTAAAATCGTCATACACATAGAACAATAAGATAAATTAAAATAAAAAACCAAAAAAATAAACCAAAAATGAAGACCAAGGACTAGCAAGAAGGTTCAGCGAGGAAAGGTGTCAGCCGCCAAGTCTGATGACTTGAGTTCGATCCCTAGGACCCACCTGGTGGGAGGAGGGAACTGATTCCAGAAGTATGCATGCTATGGCACTCATGCATCTCCCTCCCCACCTCACAAAATAAAAAACAACAGGAAACACATCAACAACATGAATATCAAAGTAAACGCGAATAGTTTGATGATTTGGGAGTCATGAGAGTTTGTGAAGTTTCTGGGGGATCTTGTTCTCTTTATTTCCTAATTTTTTTCCTGTGTGCATAGCACATTTTTCACACGTGCCGCGCCCCCTCCCGCCCCCCAGGTGTGGTGGGTTCTGCAATCCCCTTGGGATGGACAGAGGCAGAGGCGGTACCTTTGGCACAAACACCAGACAGAGAGTGATGGTGCTGCAGAAGATGATGACCAAGGCCACGATGCAGAACTGCACGTTGGGCTGGTCCCGGGTCAGGAAGGAGACAGCTGCCCCAATGATGCACATGATCCCCACGTTGTACACACTCATCCCAATGTACTTGCTGTCATTGAGGGCAGGGATGCTTACGTTGCGTGTTTCCCATGCTAGGAAACAACCAAACAGCTGAAAACGTGAGCACAAAGGGCAGATGGTCATTACCAGGCAGAGCCTGCTCATCAAACTTCAGGAACTTCAGGTCGCCACTAACTGCCTTCATGTGTGGCCCCCCCAATTGCACCCTGAAGAAATGCAGACTTGGGGTGTGTCAGCACCCCCCCATTCTCCTTCACAACTGGCTTCTGCCGAGACCTTTGAGAGGCCGTGGGTGAAGGAACCTCATGTAAGATCTTGAGTGTTAAGCCAGGCAGTGGTGGCGCACGCCTTTAATCCCAGCAGAGGTAGGTGGATCTCTGTGAGTTCGAGGCCAGCCTGGTTTACAAAGCTACACAGAGAAACTCTGTCTTGAAAAATCAAAAGAAAAAAAAAAAAAGATCTTGAGTGTTTGCTCTCACTCTCTGGAGAACACTGAGGTACAGAGAGGAAAGACGGCGGCCACACAGTGCTGGAGGGCGGAAGTGGATTATGCTTGTAGAAGAGTTCAGTCTAGTATTTTTCTAGCAGGCTAGTCAGGTGTCCTGTGACTCAACTTCTCTCATCCCTACTGTGCAGAGGTACCCAGAACAAAGAGACCTTTCCCATCCTCTCTAGAAGTAAAGTTGGCATATGGCAGATTCTGGACAATGCCCTGTAAGAGGGAATGTGGTACCCGAGTTCTGGGCTGTGCCCTTAGAGGGGAAGGAATTGCATTTCTTCCTTTCTAACAGGTAGAGTGGATTGTGATGAGTGGTACCTCAGCAGCCGTCTTAGACTTCGTGGCATGGATGTGGGGGGTGACAAGGCCATCTCAGCATCTCTGGAGCGGGTTTGCTAGGGGGAAACTGCTCATATCTTTAACTGCCATTATTTGTGGTTTCCTCTCACGCGCAGTTTCCTTCCTAAGCAATACATCTCCCTACAGAAGTAAACAGGACAGAAGTAGACAGGAGAGAGGCCCTAGGGGAAGCTTCAGCCCTCCCAGCGCTCTGAGGGAGGGTAGGCCACGGGGGCAGTGCACATCTGCACCCCTGGGTGGCAGTGAGGGAGGCAGAAGGGAGACTTGAAGGTCCTGGGGCTCTCCCACCAATACCTCATCTACTTCTTTCACCTCATAAGTCAGGGCACTCCACGTCTGTCATCACTGTGATGACTGCTTTTTGAGGGTGACTTAGTTTGGTGTCATGGGGCAGACGAAGAGTAGATGAGCCAGAGGATTTGGAATGATCTCTACGAGTCACTGGCCATGGGACTCTGAACAGGTCATTTCCCCTCTCACTTGGGAGATGGGGTGATACCTGTCCCCCAGGGCCTCTGTTTGGGTGAGGTGGGGGTGTGTGGCAGTTTTAATGTAAGCTCACAGGGAGTGGCACTGTTAGGAGGTGTGGCTTTGTTGGAGTGGGTGTGGCCTTGTCGGAAGAAGTGTGTCACTGTGGGGGCGGGCTTTGAGGTCTCCTATGCTTAGGATACCACCCAGTGTCTCAGTTGACTTCCTGTTGTCTGCAAGACACTCTCAGCTCTAGTACCTTGTCTGCCTGCACACTGCCATGTTTCCTGCCATGATGATAATGGACTGAACCTCTGAAACTGTAAGTGAACCCCCTCAATTAAATGTTTCCCTTATAAGAGTTGCCACAGTCATGGAGTCTCTTCCATGCAGTAGAAACCCTGACTAAGACAGGGAGACAAGACGGGGAGTCCTGAATGAGCTTCTCTGACGAATGGCACTTCACACTGCAATGCTGGCTTCCTATTCCCACCCCAGTCCTTTTCTGTAAGTGTGTCCTCTAGCAGCCTGATCTAGTACTTTTTCTGATCTATTATTCTATTTATTTACTTTTTAAAACTGGGTTTTGCCCAGGCTGGCCTTGAATTCTCCATCTCCATCCTTGGTCTTCATCCAGGCAGGGATGGAGGTATCTAAAGAGACATGTGTGAGCCTCAATTTGATTATCAGACTATTGAAACAATGGACCTCAGGGAACTAGATATTCCTCCAGGAATCTCACTGGGGAGAAGAGAAGGCCTGGGCAGCCTGAGAGGAACATTGCTAGTGAAAAGAGATTTATAACTATCAGACAGCTCACAGGAGAGGCAAGGGCGGACCAAGAGTGGTCAGGACCACACCTTGACCACGACTGCTTCGGTGTGTACAACTTCTTAAACCTTAATCTTCCTTCCAGACCTTGGACTTAGAATGGGGTGGGATGGGGTGTCACTGGATTTCTTTCTCCTTCTTCCCAATGTTTTCATAATCTTCCCCTTTCTGCTTTTCATAAAGATTTGGCTGTTCTAATTGGTTTATAGAGGATGGCTGGCTGATTGGGGGCACAGGCTGTACCTCAAGTTCAGTAACACTGGGATTACAGGTTTGTGCCCCCTCCCACCGTGCCTAGTCCTTCACTAGGAAATGCCAGCCTTGGAAGCAGACACTCCGGGTAAGGGGAGGAAGCCATCGTCTTCGGGAAGCCTGCACTGCACAGGTTCTTCATGCATGGCTCCTTCAGTCCCCAGAGGCCATGTCTCCTCTGAAACTAAGAAGCACAGGATGGGCCAGACGCAGGGCCCTGCCTAGGTGGGGCCCATGGTGGTGAGTGACAGGGCTTGGTGGGAGCCAGACTGTGGCTCTGACTGGGATGCACCAAACCAGCATTAGAGAGTTTTTTGTTTTTTGTTTTTTGTTTTTTTTTGAGACAGGTTTCTCTGTAGGTATGGAGACTGAACTGGGACTCTCTTTGAAGACCAGGCTGGCCTCGAACTCTCAGAGATCCGCCTGCCTTGGGATTAAAGGCATGCGCCACCACTGCCCAGCTAGCTCAGGCATGTTTGCAGATCTCTGAAAGGCATCAGTGTCAGCAGGAGATGGTCATATGTTCTTAGACCTTCAAGGCATGCAATGAGGACCTACAGGTGCTGAGCCGAGACTAGGAAGAACTTTCTGGCAACACAAGCCATCTGTAATCGGTAGTGGCCCTCACAGGTATATCCACATCCAGATCCGTGGAAGTGGTGAATGTGACCTTATTAGAGGA